AAGGATTTAAAGGGGCCGGCCCTTGAAGTTTTCCTCCACCCTGGACCTCCCACTCCCCCCAAAACCCCAGACTCAGAAAGGAAGAAACCACCCCAGGGTTTTACCGCCGCGATCCATCCGGGGATTATTCTTAAGCAACTCTGAAAACATCCTTGCCTCCCGCCCCTGGAGGGGGTCCCTCGATCAGACTCCCCCTCACGGTCTCAGGGGGCTGCTCCCTAGAATAGAGGCTGGGGATCCACCTGCCGACCCCATCCAACCCCCATAAAAGGGGGCTGAGAAACAAGTCTCTCGGGCTCCTACTTTCTCCGTTAGAGGGTTCCCCAGGTAGGGGCGGGGGCGGCCGAGGAGAAACCACAGCAGGGGTGGGGGTGGCTTCTGAGATCCGGGGAGACCCAACTTCGGAAGCAGACAAATCCCCCCCCTTTGTTTGTCAACTGGGGATGGGGTGCCCCAGCGCACCCCCTCCCTTGCAAAGTTTTTTTTCTTTTTCTGAGGGTATGTGAATCTGACTTTTTGAAGAAGCCCGAAACCGGACTTTTCTGGGCTCAGTGGAAACCCATTTTAATGAAAACTAAGATAAACTTGCGGAGGTGGGGGAGGCGCTGAAACAGGATTTTAGAAGGGCTCCGAAAAACTTCTAGGGTGTCAGAAACACTTTGGGGGACTTGAAACGGACTCGGGAGGTGTTTGAAACTGGCTCAGGGGTTCTTGAAACTGACTTTCTGCGAAGGAGGGGACCACGAAACGTCTCTTTCAGGGGGGAGGGGTGTGAGGAGGCCCGGGAAACCACCCCCCCTCCGGTCCCCCGCAGCCGGTGCAAGCGGCACGGCCCGGGGCCTTTTGAAGCTCGGGGCACCCGACCCGCCGCCGGCCGGCGGCTGCGCCCCGCATTAACGCGGAGCAGATGTTCCTTGCGGCCCCCCCGGCCCTCCAACCTGAGCCCTCGGTGCGCGCCGCAGCACGGTCCCCGCGCAGACAAAAGGACTCGCCTCCACCCGCTCCCCCTCCAACTCCGCGCCGGCCGGGCCTCTCGGGGGAGGGGGCGCCCGAGGCCCCCGCGCCGGGGGTCCGCACGAAGTTAGGCGGGGCCCCCCCGGGGCCGCAAAGTTTGGCGAAGTGGCCGCCCGTACGCACCGGCGCCCGGGCCGACCGGCCTCCACGCCGCCGGCCCCCCATTAGCGGATAAAGTTGGAGAACAATGACCCGGGCCGCCGCCCGCACCCTCGGCCGCCCGCGCCCG